GGCCTTTATAACAGTCCTGTGAGATAGGTATGGAAGACGATAATTCGTCTCCACCTTATTGCTAAGGAAATTGGCACGGAATGCTTATGGCTTAGTCAAATTTGTAATAGAGATTGGCATTGGATTTGGATTCTTTTCCACCACATTATAATTATATTTTGTCAATAGTGGTATAAAAAATAAAAGTCTAACAAATGCTGGTATTTGGTGTTATCTTTGCCTTTTCCGTGTCCTATCCATTTTTACTCCTCAAGAATGAATTACATGGATCTCTTTTATTGGACTGGTGCTGATTTGACAGAAATTTTCTGTTGTAATATCTATGAGTCAGAAGGAAGAGAGAATAATTTTTTCCTCTGTCTTTATATCTATTATAATTTTTTAAAGCACAGACTAGATTTAAACTTTAGAGGTAAAGACAATCTTAAAATCAGATTATAGTATTCAGTAAATATTAGATAAAGTAATGAGTGACTTAAAATTGATCTTGGTTTACTCCTTTGAGCCCTTTGGTATCTTCAAAACAACCCACACTTGTATAGGGTCTTATATATCCAGGTGCATTTTGTAGAAACTATTTTATTTAATCCTCATAAGAACCCTGTGAACTAAGTATTAGATCCCATATGTATGACTGGACAAATTACTTAAATGCTCTGTGCCTGTGTTTCTTCATTTGTTAAATGAGGGTGATGATAGTACCTATTTAATGAGACTGTTACGAGACTATGTGTTAAGTACTTAAGATAGTATGTAGAACATAATAGATGTCTAAGAAATGTTAGCTGTACTATTGTCTTTGTCATCCTAATCCAGGATCATGCACTTAGCATATTGTAAAAGAAAAAAAAAACAAAACACCTGTTTTTCTTTTCTAATCTCACATGCAACATAGAGCACTTCTGTCACCAGATATATGGGTTATTTTTTCCCCAGAGAAGCAATTTTCCTTAGGTCACCTCTTGGATATTCTATAATTCAGCTCAATTCTGACGTCATACCTGGAGGTAGTGTCAGGTCCCACAGGTTAGGGGCTGCCCCACTTCAGACTCCAGTTGCAAGTCCCAGATTATGACCTATGTTTTTGACTAACTAACTATAAATCGGGGGTTCTTATGGCACCTTCTTTGCATCTGACTAATTTACTGGAACTGCTCATAGAACTCAGTGAACCACTTACATAATCACCAGTGTGTTATAAAGACTAGTACAAAGGTTACAGATGAACAGCCAGAGGAAGAGAAGGATAGGGCAGGTATGGGGAGCGTAAGCTTCCCTGCCCTATCTAAGCAAGCCACCTTTCTAGCATTTCCACGTCGTCAGGAACTAGAAAATCATCAAATTGTATTCAGGAGTTTATATAGTGCTTGATATCCAGCCTCACCTATCTTTGGTGGGTGGGGGTTACAATTTCTAACCTCCTCAGCTTTTTATCATTTGGTCTTTCTGGTGACTGGCCCAATCTAGAGGCTCTGTAGGGGCCCTACCCAAAGTAACTTAATTAGCATGAACTCAGGAGTTATCATATTATAGCAGATACAGGGTTTAAAAAAAAAGAGGCCATTATGAATAACGGAAGACCCTCCTATTACACAAGGAGTTCCCAGGGCTTTAGGCATTTGATGACAGGAACCCAGGACAAACGTATTTCATATTTCATGTTATACCATACATGTGGTGGACCCATAATCCAGGCTTAGGTCTCTCAGGTTCCCAAACCCATGATGTTTCTATTTTAAGTTCCAGGGAGAATAATAGTTGCATAAAATCTGAATAGCCATATGACCTGTTTTTGCCTAGGAACTTGAACCTGTCTTAACCTAGATATAGTCATACGTGGGGGACTGAATAAAATCTTTTAGTATATTTTTATGCTAGGAAGCATGCACACATGAGCAAAAGCGAAGGAGGGGATAGAGAGAACTCACTATTGACAAGCTCATGCCACAGTTCCCCTTTCCAGACCTCCAGCTTCCTCAGGATGCTGGTTGTTCATGCCTGTACCATTTTTCAGGCCAACCCCTATGGCTTCCAGCACTGCAGGGCACTGGCTTTACCACTGCACTACATTGGCTGTGCCTGAATGAAATTCTTAATTCCTTCTTAAATCCAGGAGATGTGCCACAAATTGTGAGACCAGATTATGCCTGGATTAGAAGTCATCTTCATTCGGATTCTAGCTCTTATTACCTAATGAGCGCTATAAAACCTTGATCAAGGCATTTAGCATCTCACATGCTGGAATTCTGTATGTAAAGTATTGCTTAGAATCATTCACAAGATGAGGTTTTAGATTACTTAACAAAACTATCTACAATCTATATTTTCTAGTTTTTTTTTTACTGTCTAATTCAAGAGATTAAAAAATTCCTTTTTCTTGTTCATAATTACCATTAAATCTTGGAATATATTAGTATATGATCGAGTGAAAATATATCCTTAACACTTACATTACTGTTTATGTTCAGTAATTTTTAAGCACCATTTTTGACTTCATATTTTTTAATCTTTTTCAGGATATTGAAAAGATTTTCAGTAACATTTCCGATATACATGAATTGACTGTGAAACTTTTAGGTTTGATTGAAGATACAGTTGAAATGACTGATGAAAGTAGTCCTCATCCCTTAGCTGGCAGTTGTTTTGAAGATTTGGCAGAAGTAAGTTTACAAATTAAATGAAAACCAGTGCTGTTTACTATTAAAAAAATACTTAAGATTTAACTGATAGTAAGCTAAAACTGTATTGTCTATATTTATAGTGATTCTGTATAGTATACTTATGGTAATACTTATGAAAATTTATACTATAGAATAATAAAATTTAGTAACCGTTTTTAAAAAAATGGTTACTCTAAGGTGAAGGAAAATAAATTTTATTATCTATAGCTCCTTATCTTTTGTAGATTTTATACTAATAAAATTGAAAACAAAATTTATCTTTAATTTTTTTCCAAAGTGAAAGTCATTTTATCTTTTTTTTAAAATTTTGTCAGTGGTGGGACCAGTAGTTTTCGCAATGACTGTGTCACTGGACTTCCATGTAGTTGACCCTAGTTCGAGTCCTGGACCTGGTGGCTTAAACTCATACCAGGCGCATGTGCATGTATGCCCAAGATCCCGAGAGGAGAATGGAGGAGAAGGGATTGTTGCATGGCCATCCCCCTTGGGGAGTGATTTCTCGCTTTCTGTCTCTCTGTCTCTCTCTCTTTCTGGCGAGCACATGCACCCTATAGCAAAAACCTCTCAAAAAAAAAAAAATTTTGTTTTTTCCAGAGGGCATGTGTACTCATCAGTGAGGAAGGAAGAGGGAGAGGGAGAAAGTACCCCCTAATGGGGCTGATCATGCTGCAATTCAGTCTTCTATATGTCTCCATCCTGTCAGGATTTGGGGCATGCATGCACATGTGTCTGGCATATATTTTAAGCTGCTGGGGCTGGGATTTGAATCACATGGTCTGATGTGGGATCCACTATGCCAGGAGGCTAGCTCCATTTTGTAATCTTTTAAGTGATTTAAGTAATGCGGTTCATTGTAAAATTCAGAAAAGTAGAGATAAATGTGAATAAGATGAATGTCACTCTATTTTTTCCACTTTATAACTTAATAACATTTCTTTATCTTTAAAATATTTTTCTATGCATGCATTCAAGCTTGTATGTTTTTACAAAATAGGATCCTACTGTTAATAACCTGCATTTTTCACTCTATATATCTGAACATTTTCTTTGTTAATAAGTACACTTCAACATAGCTTTGTTTTTAAGAATTATTTTATTTATTATTATTATTATTTTTGTACATGCACTCATGAGAGAGAGAGAGAGAAAGTGAGAAAGCAAGCTACCAGGTCCAGGACTTGAACTTCCTTGTGCGAAGTCCAGCTCCATGACCACTGTGCAAGCTGCTGTCCCTTCAACACAGTTTTTAAGTGTAAATAATATAATATTTGGGGATACCATAACTTATATACCATAACTTATTTTAACCCCCTATTTTCCATAACTTATAGGATATTTCCCTTTTTATTTTTTTGTTATTGTAAACAATGCTGCAACAAACATATTTGCACTATGCTTTCATAATCTACATTTTTTAGGAAGAGAGAGATTTTTGTTATAGGGTGTGTGTGCTCACCAGAGAGACAGAAATCACCGGAACTAGCAGTTAGCGTAATGGCTATGTCGCTGGATTCCCACGTAGTTGACCGCAGTTTGAGTCCTGGACCCAGTGGCTTAAACTCACACCACGCGCGTGTGCGTGCGTGCCCAAGATCCCAAGAGGAGAATGGAGGAGAAGGGATTGCTGCGTGGCCATCCCCCCTGGGGGGGGGGTGATTTTTCGCTTTCTGTCTCTCTGTCTCTCTCTGTCTGTCTGACATGCGCCCTATAGCAAAAACCTCTCCAAAAAAAAAAAAAGGAAGCAAGAAATCACCCCCAGGGGGATTGCCATGCCACAATCCCTTCTTTCTCTAGGGATTTTGGGGAAGTACACACACAAGCCCAGCATGAGTTTCAAACTCCTAGGTCCAGGACTCAAACTACAATCAACTACATGGGAGTCCAGTGACATAACATTACGCCATCTGCTGGTCCTACATAATTTAATAATTTTTTTTACGATCTATTTAAGGAAGTGGAATTGTAATGCTAAAGACTAGGGATGTTTTTAGAATTTTTGAAACATTTTGCCAAATTTACTTCCAGATTGGTTCTAGTATATGCAGGCTACTCCTGTCTCCCCACACTTTTCACTAATTCTGGGTATTATCACATTCATTTTTACCAGTCTAATAGGGAAAAACAGCACCTTATTTTTCTTTAATTTTGTTTTTTTTAAAAAACTAATTATATTGAATATCTTCTCCTATTCACTGGCCATTTTTGTTTCTTTTGGAAAATAGAACTTTACAGCACTGTCTTTAGATTTCATGTAAAAATGTTTCCTGTTTGTTTATAAGCCAGAGGGTGTGTGTGCTTGCCAGAGAGAAACAAAGACAGAGAGAGAGAAAAGAGGAGGAGAAAGCAATTCCTAGTGAGGGCTGTGGTCAGCCTCAATCTTTTCTTCTCCATTTCCCCTTCCTGTTGGGATTTTGGGCATCACAGTCATGCACCTGCCATGTTGTTCAAGCTGCTGGGTCTGGGATTCAAACTAGTTGGTTGGCTATGTGGGATCCAGCTCCTTTAACCACTAGGCCAGTGGCCCAGTCCATGTGTAAAAAATTTTCTAGTTTCTAATCTCTACTTAATAACTTTTTTGAAAATGTAAATTTCTTTTATTGCATCTATTTTATGCACAAAGAAACAGATAATAGAGAAACATTTGTTACTAATTTATAACCAGGATATCCAGGCTCAGTTCTTGTTTTGTTTTGTTTTGTTTTTGTTGATCTTAACTGCTAGAGGGCCATCTGCACTCATCAGAGAGAGAAAGAGAAAGAAAGAAAGAAAGTGCCTTCTACACCCCACATGAAGCCTAATTATACCACAGTTCCATTCTGCTAGGATTTGGAGTTCACATGCACATGTGCCTGGCATGTTTGTCAAACTGCCAGGGCTGGGATTTGAACATCAATGGGCCATAAGGCACCATATGCACCATGCTTAATCTCTGGGCTACAAGGCCAGCCCCAGCCATGGTTCTTAATAGATTTTTAAAGAATTATTTATTTAATTTTATTTATTATTATTATTATTTTAATTTGCTGTAGAACACGTGAGCTCACCAGAGAGAAAGTGAGAAAGCAAGCCACCAAGTCTGGAACTTAAACCTCAGTTGGCCATGTGGGAGTCCAGTGCCTTAACCTCCATGCCACCTGCTGGCCCCAGGAGAATATTTCTGTTTGGTGATATACTATTAGATCATTGGAAAAGTCATGATTTATATTTTTCTATGTTTTTCTATTCAAAGATGCGTCATGACTTTCCCAACAGCCCAGTGGTTTGTGGTTTGGTTGCTTTATACTCTTAAAGATACTGTGGTTCACAAAATACTGTATTCTTTTAATTTAATTTTATATTTTGGACATATATTTTAATTTTATATGTCCAAAATATATACATTTGTATTTTATATAAATATATATTTATGTTTATATACATACCTATACACATATAACAGTTTATCCTTTTAATAATTTTTTACATGTATAATACAATTCAGTGGTATAAATTAAATTCACAATGTTGTACAATTGTTACCACTATATGTTTTCAAAACATTTTCATCTTCCCAAGCAAAAGTCCTACCCAATGAGCAATAACTCTCTATTCCTCTCTTTTCTCAGCTCCTGGTAACCTCTAATCTACTTTCTGTCTCAATGAATTTGCCTATTCTAGCTATTTCATACAAGTGGAATCAGGCAATATTTATCCTTTTGTTTATGTTTACATTACGTGGCATAATGCCTTCTAGGTTCATCCATGTTAATTGCATATATCAGAACTTCATCCTTTTCTGTGGCCAAATAATACTCCATTACTTGTATAGACCACATTTTGTGTATGCATTTGCTCATGGTTGCTGAGATTGCAGTGTTTTCAGTTCTTTTTGGTATTTACCTAAGAGTAGAATTGTTGGATCAATGGTAATTCTATGCTTAGCTTTTTGAGGTACTGCCAAATTGTTTTCTGCAGGAGCTGTACCATTTTACATTTCGTTTAACCCTGAACAATACCTCTAATTTTTTTAAACATCCTTGTTAATACTTGTTTATTTTCTTTAAAAAGTTTTTTTGGGGACCAGCAGGTGGTGTGGTGGTTGAGGCACTGGACACTCCCACATGGCCGATCATGGTTCGGGTCCTGGACCTGGTGGCTTGCTCTCTCACTTTCTGTGTCTCTGTCTTTCTCTGGTCAAATTAAAATGAATAGATGAATGAATGAATAAATAAAATTAAATAAATAATTCCTTTTTTAAATAGTTTTTTGTTTTATTGCCATGTGCATTTGCCAGAGAGTGACAGTAAGAGGGAAAGTAAGAAATCACCCCCAGGGAGGATGGCCACACCATAGTCCCTGTCCTCTGTTATTCTCTTGGGATTTTGGGTACACATATGCGCCTGTGTGATTTTCTAGCTACCAGGTCTAGGCCTTGAACCGTGGTCAACCCATGTGGGAGTCCAGTGCCACCATGCTGGCCCCACTATTTTTATATTTTTAAATACAGAAATTAATCTTTGAAGTCTAACTGCACATTGTCAAATAATATAAATTTATTTAAATATTGGACAAATTATGAGTAGTTTCTGCTTTGTTATCTTAGGGTGTATATTATCTTTAGTCTGCTTTCATTTTCTAATATTGGAAACTTTAGAGTGCATAGAACAGTAGTATCACTTTTGCTTCCTTTAGAGGTATCCTAAATGTAAACTCAGGTACCTAGTTTACATAAAATTTCAACCTAGGTAGCCTAACTGAATTTCAAATTCTAGCCTCTTTTTACTAACATATATTCTTTTTATTTACTGGGCAAAATGTACATAAGCATTTTAATATTTTGATACTTGTGACCACAAAGTCAGTTACCTATTTTAAGACCTGTAGCCTCTTATCTGTTGCTCAAGATCACTATAGTACTTATATTTTTAAAAACTTACCAGTAGCAGACATAGTTTTCATTTGTTCCTGAAAAGGAGAAGAAAAGAGTAATGAAACCCAGGCTTGAATACAAATTTACTATTAAATAATCTCTGCCATACTGGTAGAAAGGATGTACTTTTAAACCTAATACATTTTCCTTTTTAAAAAAATAGGAACAAGCATTTGATCCTTATGAAACATTGTCACAGGACATTCTATCACCAGAGTTTAATGAACATTTCACTAAGTTGATGGCCAGACCTGCAGTTGCTGTACACTTTCAGGTACAGGGAGGATGGCCACACCATAGTCCCTGTCCTCTGTTATTCTCTTGGGATTTTGGGTACACATATGCGCCTGTGTGATTTTCTAGCTACCAGGTCTAGGCCTTGAACCGTGGTCAACCCATGTGGGAGTCCAGTGCCACCATGCTGGCCCCACTATTTTTATATTTTTAAATACAGAAATTAATCTTTGAAGTCTAACTGCACATTGTCAAATAATATAAATTTATTTAAATATTGGACAAATTATGAGTAGTTTCTGCTTTGTTATCTTAGGGTGTATATTATCTTTAGTCTGCTTTCATTTTCTAATATTGGAAACTTTAGAGTGCATAGAACAGTAGTATCACTTTTGCTTCCTTTAGAGGTATCCTAAATGTAAACTCAGGTACCTAGTTTACATAAAATTTCAACCTAGGTAGCCTAACTGAATTTCAAATTCTAGCCTCTTTTTACTAACATATATTCTTTTTATTTACTGGGCAAAATGTACATAAGCATTTTAATATTTTGATACTTGTGACCACAAAGTCAGTTACCTATTTTAAGACCTGTAGCCTCTTATCTGTTGCTCAAGATCACTATAGTACTTATATTTTTAAAAACTTACCAGTAGCAGACATAGTTTTCATTTGTTCCTGAAAAGGAGAAGAAAAGAGTAATGAAACCCAGGCTTGAATACAAATTTACTATTAAATAATCTCTGCCATACTGGTAGAAAGGATGTACTTTTAAACCTAATACATTTTCCTTTTTAAAAAAATAGGAACAAGCATTTGATCCTTATGAAACATTGTCACAGGACATTCTATCACCAGAGTTTAATGAACATTTCACTAAGTTGATGGCCAGACCTGCAGTTGCTGTACACTTTCAGGTAAACTTAAATTGAATGTTATTTTATTTTAATTTTTTTTGGTGAAGAAATACTTCATCATCTTGCCCTTCAGATATTTATAATTCTAGAATTGTTTTATAAAGTAGGTAAGAAAATATTTCATTGATCCTTAAAATCTTGTTTCTAAGCCTATTTATTCATTCATTTATTTGCTAGAGGCTGTATGCTGTTACTGGAGAGAGCCAGGGAGAGGAGGAAAGCATGCCCCATGGGGAATAGCACGCCACAATCCCTTCTCATCATCTCTCCTTTCTTTTGGGATTTTGGGCATACACACACATGCACCTGATGGTTCCAAGATGCTAACTGCACAGTCAGCCACTTAGGATACCCTAACCAGCAGGCAACAAAGCTGTCCTGATCCACCTGTTCTTCATATAGACATCTTTTACAGTACTACATCACAAATGCTGAATGACTAGAAAATTTTGTACATTCTAGGTCAGGAATACAAAGATGACTCTGGAGAGTTTTTTTCAGGATCATATTCCCTACCGGAGGAAGATTTGAAAAAATCATAAAGAGTTAAAAACAGCTAATATGTTTTCATGCTAATTTCTCCATCAGGCTTATAGTTTAAAGGCAATACATATTGTCCTGAGCAGGAGTGTGTAAGTTTATTGGTTTGGTAGTAGTTAGATGAAAGGAGAACACAACAAAGGTTACATTGACATAGGTGATGCTCAGTTACTTACTAGTTGTAGAAACTTCTTCATCTAGACTGGCCCTTCCTGCTTTACTTATGTATATAATCAGATTTTTATTGTCCTAAAACTTGTAAGAGAACAAATGAACAAATTTTTCTTCACTCTAGAATGACTCCCTTCTTTTGTTGTTTTCACTTTGCAGCCAATTGTATTCATCTTTTTATTATTATTATTTTTAAAAAATGGTTTGCATGCACTTGCCAGACAGAGGGAGAAAGAGAGGGAAAGTGAGAAATCACCCCCCTGGGGATGGCCACACCGCAGTCCCTTCTCCTTTATTCTCCTCTTGGGATTTTGGGCACACACCAATTGTGCCCAGAATGATTTTATTTTTTCTTTCCCTTTCCTTCCCTTCCCCTCCCTTGCCCTTCCCGTCCCCTTCCCCATCCCCTTCCCGTTCCCTTTTCCTTTCCCTTTCCTTTCCAATTTGACCAGAGAGGGATAGAGTGAGAGAAAGTAAGAAAGCAAGCTGCCAGGTCTGGGGCTCGAACCCTGGTTGACCATGCAGGAGTCCAGTGCCCTTAATCACCACACCACCGGCCAGACTCCCCAGCATGATTTTCAAGCTGCTGGGTCTAGTACTCACACTGCAGTCAGCTATGTGGGAATCCAGTGCCTTAACCTCCATACCACCTACTGATCCTCCATTGTATTTTTTAAACCGCTGGGTCTGAGATTTGAACTGTGCAGTTGACCGTGTGGGATCTAGCCACATAAACTACCATGCCACCTGGTTTGCTTCTTTTTTACCATTCTTTATCAAAATACTACAATCCAGGTTCTAATCAGGATATAACACTAAAAACTGCCTTTGACGATGAACTTACTTGCCAATTCAAGTGTATATTTTATTTCAAATTTAAGTCTATACTATGTTAGTTCCCTTTTTGTCCCTTGCTTCCGACAATACTAGTTTCTCCCTCTTTTCCTCTTTTATTTCTTCTTCTCAGTCCCCTTAGTTGGAGTTGTTCTTCAACTTCTCTTGGCGCCTGCTCTTAACTTCTATGGGTGCTTTCCATTGGTGACTTCATCCATATCTATATACTAGTGATTGCCTGTTTGTGACTATTTCCCATGCAAAGGTGTAGGGGGGTAGTTGGGGGGCAGATTCTCTCTCTCTGGGAAATGCATACACCATTTGGAAAAAAAAATGTACAGATAGCCTTAAGGGAATGAGATCTGAATCTCCCCAACATGTTTCTTTTTTGTGCCCTTCTTTCTAATTTCGCTTACACATTTCCTCTTGCCATATTGATTTCCCATTATACATTAATTCAAGGTGTAAACACCGTCAGTATACCAACCAGAAAAAAATGTATTTCTGTTGAGGGAAAGCTCACTGAGTACAAAGCAAAAGAGTTTCCAAAAGAAGGATGTGTGATGATTATGGTAAAAACTCTCAGTAGCCAAAATGTCATAATAATCTATGTCTTGTCCTATCTATATATCTACTATCTATGAATTAAGACATTTGATGATTATCACAACAGTGAATATTAACTTGTTTCTTTGTTTATTTTATTTACTTCATTATTCATTTGGGGTAAAGGAAAAGGGGAGACTCATAAAGTTCTTACACCTGGATGTACTGCTTTGGAAGCAGTTATAGGTTCTTCCAGATGCTTCCAGTCCTTGAGCCATGACATTAATATGTTTACTTGAGTTAAAGAGTGAAATCAGATTTCTAAGTCTGATCTACTGTTTAAAGTTTTTAAAATTCATTTCTTCCATGAGTGAGAGAGAGAGAGAAAGACACTAGTCCCAACAGCATCCTAATGTATGATTTACCCCTCAGCCAGCCCAGATCATGGGCACATGTGTGCCCACTGTACTCAGGGAAGTTTTTAGTCTTGAGTGCAGAACCTTCCCATTCGGGTCAGCCTCACAGAGTATTGTATTTTACCACTGCGCCACCACCAGGCCCCTGGCTGTTTATTTTGACAGTGAAGATGGGCTTTGTCAATTAAGTTATATGAAACACATTTTCATAAATTAAATTAGCTAAACCTGAAATTTATTCAGTCATGTTTGGTAAAACATGGTTTAATAGTGTTTATAGTATATACATCCCTAAAAATACATTCTTTGTGATGATTTAAATGTAAATCATTTCTTTTTTTTTTTTTTTTTGAGAGATTTTCACTGTAGGGCGCGTGCGTTCGCCAGACAGAGAGAGACATAGAGACAGAAAGCGAGAAATCACCCCCCAGGGGGGATGGTCACGCCGCAATCCCTTCTCCTCCATTCTCCTCTCGGGATCTTGGGCACGCACGCACATGTGCCCAGCGTGAATTTTAAGCCACCGGGTCCGGGACACGAACTGCGGTCGACTACGTGGGAGTCCAGCGACATAGCCATTACGCTAACTGCTGGTTCCCAATGTAAAACATTTCTGATGATGATGTAAAAATGTGCAAGAGGGTAAAAGGCTTTTCAAAATTTGAATTCATTTGAAAAAAAATCTGTAGAGGACTATTGTAAAAGATATTTTAGCCATATAAGAGATGAAGAAATGCTGGGACCAGCAGTTAGCGTAATGGCTATGTCGCTGGACTCCCATGTAGTTGACCGCGGTTTGAG